TGCTGGCTAAAGAGTGCAGGTCTGTCTCAGCATGCTTCTGAGAGCGGTGAAGCATCTGCTCACTGGATGAAGTTACCAGTTTGTGTTTGTGTTCAGCTGTGTCAGGAAATGCATTTAGTTTAAAGCCTTGGATTTAAATAAAGATTTAAAGGAATGCTCAACACTGTTGTTGAATTGTTTAACTAACGTTCTTAACTCAAAAGAATATTTTGAAGAATGTTTTAATTATTTCAATGTCTATACAATAAAATTCCAATAGGAACTGAAACCTTTAAACACCAAAAAGGACATAAAAGTATGACGTGATGATGGACAGATTGAAATGTAGGTCTTTGTTCTGTCTCATATCAAAACATTGTTCAACACACGCATACACAGATTACATAAAATATGGCAAAACAAACCTCAAGTGTCAACTAATACTAAACCTCACTGGTTTCTCGCATGTCACGTGACCAAATGTCATGATGTTTGAGGATCATGTTCATCATATTTGGTGTGAAATCGCATACTCGCTGAGTAGGCACTTCTAAGTACGTACTTCACAACTATTTCTATATGACATGAATGTGTGTAGTATGAATATAATGTGGATGTACTAAGTTCGTCATGTTGTCATTATCATTTGACCTACAGTTACAGTTGTCACTCACAAATCCTCTCTCGTGGCCTCATGGGACAGTGAAGTATCCAGTGGATGCACACTTCAGAATATCATTGAAAGTAATAGGTCATCTGACAAGATTTGCTTCATGAATACTGTGAATTTGGACATATTACTCATTCACATACTGTTTTTCGCCTACTATGTCATAGGGAAGTATGCATATTCAGGTGCACTCTGTGTGTTGATTTGATTTGATTTAAAGGAACACTCCACTATTTTTGAAAATAGGCTCATTTTCCGACTCCCCTAGAGTTAAACAGTTGAGTTTTACCGTTTTCGAACTCAACTGTTTAACTCTAGGGGAGTCGGAAAATGAGCCTATTTTCAAAAATAGTGGAGTGTTCCTTTAAGAGTGGATTCAGGCTTAAATTTCCATCTGTTCTTCATAGTGATCATGTCATAAAAGTCTAGAACAACATGAATAAATGATGTTAAATGATGACTTTCCACTTTGGGATGAACCAAAAGAGGTGTTAATCTTCTTTCAAATTAAAATACTCATATACAAATATTAAAATACATACAGTATGTACACACAAATGTGCAGAATCTCATTATGTTCTGTTGATTCTTATACTTGCTTGTTCTGTTTTGTCCCTTTTGCTGTTTGAACCACCGCTATTCTTCGTTAATATATGAAGTATTTGTGTGTTTTAAAAACAGACTTTACAAACTCCGTAACAAGCAGAGGATCTCCGTGTCTGCAGCCTCCAAACTGCTCTCCAACATGATGCTGGGATACAGAGGCATGGGCCTGTCTATGGGGAGTATGATCTGCGGCTGGGACAAACAGGTGAAGTCTTTATGTTTGTAAGATTGCTTTTGTGTTTTTTGCTTAGTTGCATATTATCAGAGTGTTCTCAGTCAAGCATATTATACAGTACAACAATAAAATAAATAAAATAATTGTAAAGCTCTTAGTAAGATCTTATAATCATCTTGTAGCACAATCATGAATACACAACTTCAGTTACATTCATGTTACCTCTTTTCCCTCACATCAGGGTCCAGGCCTGTACTATGTGGATGATAATGGCACACGTCTCTCCGGCCGGATGTTCTCCACTGGCTGTGGGAACAGCTATGCGTATGGTGTAGTGGACAGTGGTTATCGTGAGGATATGACTGTGGAGGAGGCGTATGAGCTGGGCCGTCGTGGTATTGCTCATGCTACACACAGAGACGCTTACTCCGGTGGTGTGGTCAACCGTAAGTACCAGCAATGTATTACAAACTGGCTAGCAATGAATCTGAATCTTAACATTAATATAAAAATGTAAGAATATTGAGCTGCAGTAATGTGCTATTATGGTTCAACCAAAATCTGTAAGAAGTGTGAAATTGTCCCCGACAATAAAACAAAACAGCCCCAATACAAGAAATAACGCTAAGCTTTGTATTTCTGTCCTACATTATTGTTTTCTTAATTCAATAATGTACACTATTGTTGCATAGTTTTTGTGTCATATTTAAGAGATGAAGTCTTCACATATGTTTTCTCCTCTTAGTGTACCACATGCAGGAGGACGGCTGGATCAAGGTGTGTAAGGAGGACGTGTCAGAGTTAATCCACAAATATAAGAAGGGAATGTTCTGATCTGATCTCTCATTTATCTGACAGTAAAAATTAAACTGTTATCAAATCAAAGACGTTTTTGGTGCATTCTTTATTATATATTTGAACCGTATTTTCTGTAACTATCTGTCTCAGTGAATAAAAAAATGAACTTAATTCACTTATGTTACAGGACAAATATAGCTCCGTGTTTGTGATGACTTTTTGTGCTTATTCTACCCATTTTTGTATGTGGTTCCAACAGGGTTATTCTCTGGGAACTGTGCAGTGTGTGGCAGAAAAATAATTTTATTTGAAAAGATTATTGTTGAACCTTCATGAAATCTTTTTTTTTTTTTAAGGGAACGGTCATAG